CAAAGGTTAACTCCAAATGGATCAGAGACCTAAATGTAAAACCTCAAACAATAAAAACCTTAGAAAATGAAGGACATACCCTCATGGAAATTGAAACTGGCATCTAATTCCTGAACAAAACCCGAAATCCACAGGTCATAAGAGAGAAGATAGACAAGTGGGACCTTATTAAACTGACAAGCTTCTGCAAAGCCAAAGAAACCATCAAGAGAGCAGGGAGACAGCCTACCGAAAAAGTATTTGCCAACACCAGGTCTGACAAAGGCTTAACATCCTGGATCTACAAGGAACTTAAACGTGCTGAAAAGAAAAAAAACAAACAACCCCATTATAAAACACTGTACATTTTAATAGCAAAACTGACACACATCTTCAAAACACCCCTTTCAGCTGGTCCGATAGTGGGTTATCAGAACTTATTAACATTAGTGTCAAAATATCCTTTAGGTAAATAGCTTTATTATGTTAAACATTTTCTCCATTATTCGGATAAATATTAATGAAAACATAGGCATTAGAGAAAATATTCTTCATCTATGAAAGACTGATTTATTCTTCTAATTCTGCTCTTACTTAACATTAATTATATAATTATCAAATTTTTAATTTGAAAACAGATTGTACTGGATTTGTATTTTCTTTTTTCTTTTTTTTTTGAGTTGAAGTCTCACTTTGTTGCCTGGACTGGAGTACAGTGGCATGCTCCCGGCCACTGCAGCCTCGACCTGCTGGGTTCTAGCAATCCTTTCACCTCAGCCTTCCAAGTAACCGGAACTACAGGCGTGCACTACCATGCCCGGTTAATTTTGGATTTACTGTAGAGACGAGGTCTTGCCAAGTTGCCTGGGTGGGTCTCGAACCCACAGGTTCAGGCAATTCACTTGCCTCGGCCTCCCAAAGTGTTGGGATTACAGGCTGAGCCACCGAGCCTGGCCTGTATTTTCTTTTAGACACTAATCACTGAAATATGTTCTTCTGTACATATTGTAGTAGACTGCTGGAGTGACCATCTCCAAGGAATTATTGTAATTGTTCCCTACCTGCAGAGAATAGAAAAGGTAAGCTAGGATTGTTTTGCAGAGAATCTATTATAAGTTTTAGGGATCAGCAGTTAAACTTTTCAACTGACTTGGTAATAAAAAATATATACAAATTGGCTTTATTTTTTTAGAGTTAAAAGTAATTAGGGGAAGATCTAATGGTTCATTTTTTTCTTTGGGTTTTGTGTCTGGAATAGATTCAAGCCAAAAGAACTAAGGGAGGAGAATGTTCATTTGTTTGAACATGACCTCCTCTCTTTTTTATACCACTTTGACTTTTTTTCTTTGTAATAATGTCTGCTCCATTTCTAATACAACTGTTTGAAAAATCTCTTGATCACCTCTTCCCACCTTTTTTCCCCTCAGGTGCTATATTCATTCCTCTTCTGTCCCTCTTTATGACAATGCTAGGCTATCACTTCATGGGGTACATTCTGTGATCCTGGTGAAGAAGGAAAGGCCTTAACATGAACTAGCACTGGGAGTAGAATAAATTGGCAAAAACCTTTGAAAACCACACATGCTATTCTTGGAACCAACAATTTTATATTGAAGAAAATAACCCTACTTGTCTTAAAGAAAAGAACATTCCAAAAGTATTTATTTAACAACCAAACACTTGATAAAACATTCTTACAGTTCCTGGTAAGCATGATAGAAGACCAGATAGCTCCAAGAATGAAGGTGATCTTGTTGCCAATTCTGTTAAATTTTATTTTGCAAGTTTCCATGGTATCTTTTTAAAAAGCATTTTGATAAGTACTATCTAAAAGTATGTTTGTAAACAGGTCCTGTGGACTATCCCAATACATGATAAATATTGTTAATCCACCCTTTCACCTCCAGTTTTCTGTTTCCATTTTCAATTTCATCTGTAACTTTTCAAAGGTACTAGCAAACAAAATACTTCAAAGGCATGCATTGAGAAGCTGTGGCAGTTCATCCATTCCAACTAGAAACTGCAAAAAAGTCTCCTGTACTCACCACCTCTGCAGCAGCATCAGAAAAAATAATAAAGTATCTGTGCCCTTGAGTTCTCTGCTATAGGCAACAACAACAAAAAAATCCAAGAGAATGGGAATTTTTCAGACATATCACATTGAAACAAAAAATGCACATTAAAAATCCACCTCTCATTTCCTTTTTTCTGCTTTTTTATTTAATTATTTAATTTTTTATTTTAAAGATGTGGAGTACAATTCAGGGTTAAGTATACAAATGTTCATCGTTGATTAGGTGTGCACCCCCTTCCCCAAGCAGAATCCCACTACTGCCAATCCTGTCCCCCAACCCCAGAAATTTCCCACTACTGACAATCCTTATCTTTTTTTTTTGAGTTGGAGTCTCACTCTGTCACCCAGACTAGAGTGCAGTAGCCGCTCCCGGACACCGCAGCCTCGACCTGCTGGGCTCTGGCAATCCTTCTGCCTCAGCCTTCCATGTAGCTGGAACTACAGGCGCGTGCTACCACGCCCAGCTAATTTTTTGATTTATTGTAGAGATGAGGTCTCGCCAAGTTGCCCAGGCAGGTTTTGAAGCCGCGGGCTGAGGCAATCCACTCACCTCAGCCTCCCAAAGGTGCGGGATTACAGGCTGAGCCACCGAGCCCGGCTTGACAATCCTTATCTTACAGTATTACGATAATTGTTCAAGGTCCACTTATGAGTGAGAACATGTGATGCTCAGTTCTCTGTTTCTGTGGCAGATTACTCAGTATTATAGACTCTAAGTCCACCCAAGTTGCTGCAAAGTTCAAAATTTTGTACTTCTTTATGGCTGCTTAATATTCCATTTTGTATATGTACCACAGTTTTTAATCCAGTCCTCTTTTGATGGGCAGCACGGTTGGTTCCATGTTCTTGCTACTGTGAACAATGCTGCAATAAACATATGTGTGCAGGTATCTTTCTCATAGAGTGATTTGAATTCCTCTAGGTATATTCCCAGTAGGAGGATTGTGGGATCGTATGAGAGGTCGATTTTTAGATCTTTTAGGAATCGCCAAACTGTTGTCCACAGAGGCTGTGTTAGTTTACACTCTCACCAACAGTGTAGAAGTGCTCCTTTTCCCCCACATCCTCTCCAGTATCTGTTGTTTTTTGAGTTATTGATGATGCCATCCTGAATGGAGTTAGGTAGTATCTCAGTGTGATTTTAATTTGCATTTCTTTGATGACTAGTGAGGCTCAGCATTTTTTCTTGTACCTCTTGGCTCCTTGTATGTCTTCTTTTGAGAGGTGTCTATTCATATCTTTTGCCCATTTTGTAATGGGGCTGTTTGTTTTTTTTCTTTTTGGCACATTTGGATACCTTGTAGATCTTAGATGTTAGGCCTTTGTCAGACATACAGTTGGCAAATATTTTTTCCCAGTTCGTGGGTTGCCTCCCTGCTTTTTGATGGTTTCTTTGGTTTTGCAGAAGCTTGTCAGTTTGATGAGGTCCCACTTGTCTATCTTATCTCTTATGGCATGGGCACTTGGGGTTTTGATCAGGAACTGATTGCCAGTTCCAATTTCCATAAGGGTATCTTCTGCATTTTCTAAGGTTCTTAAAGTTTGAGGTTTTATGTTTAGGTCTTTGATCCATTTAGAGCTGACTTTTGTGTTTAGGGATAGGTAGGGGTCTTGTTTTAATCTTTTGCATGTGGTCAGCCAGTTTTCCCAGCACCATTTACTGAGTAGGTTC